TAGGGCTCTGTGTCTTTACCTCAGTCACTCTATTTTGTTGGAGATGTTGGCGTCCATGTTTTCTCAGCAGCTCCAGCCCTTCCAAGAGCATCAGGAAGGCATTCCATGTCTTCATAGTTCACCCTCAGCTTCCTGTGAAGATGTGTCTGTCTGTCTCGGGGCCCTACTTCAGCTTTCTATCTCTGTGACCAAATAACCCAGGAAACAGAACTTGAAGGAGGACAGGGTTATTTTGGTTCCAGAGTCCCTGTCATAGATGGTGAGTTGTATGGTATTTTGTTTTTACTTTTTCTGTGAAAAATCCTAAAAATTTTTATAATAAATACATTCTGTCAGTATGGCCAGGTAAAGAGCAAGGTATATAAGTAAACATACATTCATGACTTAGTTGTAGGAATAGTTTATCATATTAGCTTTATATTTGTAGGCTCAAGTATTTTTAAAGTAAACTAGAGACATAGAAATTCATTTCCTAAATACTTCAATATACCACTCTTTTATAAAGACAACCATATAGATATTCAAGGACAACTCAGCTGTTATGTGTAGAACTAGGCACTGGTGCCATAAAACTGAACAAAAAGGCAGACATGTGCAGTTCTGCAGAGTACAATTTCCTGGGAATGTACTGACAGAATAGAAGTAGCAGCAGCAACTATGGGATTTGGGTCAGAAGAAGGGACATATGGATATAGGCATAGTTTTAGATGCATGTGTAAATATAGATAGAAATAGATATACAGATATCAATATAGGGATAGATAGATAGATAGATAGATAGATAGATAGATAGATAGATAACAATGACATACATGGCTTATCTTAAGTTAGTATCAAAGAGTCAGGCATATTCCTGGAACCAGAGTCCCAGGAGAAAGCTCCACACATGATTCTACTGGGTTTAGCTATTTATAGTATGCTGGGAAGCTATGTGGGGAAAACAGACCAGGGTTATTCAGGAGTAATTATGGCAGCTGTAGCTCAAGATGGCTATGGTCAGAACACACTGTGTCCTACCTGATTCAGTTAATGTTATTTTGTGTTCCTTGAGCTTAAGTAAAGCAGCAGCCCCGTAGGATCTGGGGACTAGGGATGTGTGGGCATAGCTTTCTGGAAGACAGCTCATGTCCTCCAACAGGGGGCATAACTGTTCCTCCACCTCCACCACCAGCGTCAACACCAGCACAGTTGTACTTACTAGCATGCTGGGAGCACCTCCTGTGGAATCTCCAGGCAACTTTCAGAGGCGAGTTGTGTTGGTCTCATTGTGTAGATGGAAAACAGAACTTTCAAGATAAAAGTGGTGCGGCCAATTTTTAGACCCAAGTACTGTCCCTCTGAAGTGAGACTTGGAACTGCTTCACAAATGTCTTTTACACTGCATGAACTAAGGCTTTGGGGAATGCTACAAGTGGGTCCTGCCCAGTGCAAGGTCCACAGAATGCAACTCAACCAAATAGAAAGAGAAAAGCAGACATTGCCTTCAAAACAAAGCCTTTGCAGTGATTTTTCTTTTAGTTTGGTGTTGTCTTGATTTATATGTCAAGCTTTGTTAAAGGTCACATGTAAGAAAAGAAAGGGACAATATGGACAGTAAGGCCCACAGTCTCTCCATAATTTTGAACAAAGTTATGGTTTACCAAGGAGCCTTCTAGAAAGTACAGTGGGTGAATATCCGAAATCAGCAAAAGGTTTGCTAATTGTGCTGGATTTGGTAATGACATGTAAAACATGATTTTTCTTCCGTGTTCTGTATCCACACAACAAAACAGGGACCTAGCATTTTAGGGAAAGTCATTTAGGTCTCAGAATCCTAGGAAACATGACAATGCTGTGCACTGAGTGTCAGCTAAGAACCACAGTTCCTGGGGACATGGGGCCCCTGCTAGTGATTAGAATGAGGAGGAGTGGACCAAAGTAGCAAACCAGACTGCCCCAGCCTGGAGCAGCCCTAGCAGTCCTTGAGTTAGAAATGCACAGTTGGAGGTAAAACTGCAAGCACCTCTCACTCATGCATGTAGTAAATGGTTATGGGCCAGATAATCATTCATCCATTCACTCATATATGTGTCAGAGTTATGTGACATCAATTACAAGACAGTCATTTCTTAACCTCTCACCCATCCATGTTCAATGGAGAAAATGTTGTGGACCATCTGATAGGCACTAGCTAGCTAGACAGATATTAGCAAAGAGTGACAGTCACCACTTTCAGTTGTGACCCATGAAGTGCTCTTATATCCTTCCACTGAGAAAACTAGACACACTGAGAATCAGTGACTTTTCTTAGCGAGCCAAAAGGCTAAGGTCTCAGGAGAGATCGACACCTGCTGTCAGGAGAGATGAGCACTGACCTGGGGCAGGAGCTGTCAAAGACAAACAATGCCAGAGTCTGTTAAACAGTGATTTGGGTGGCTTGTTGGAAACTGACTGTGGACTAGTTTGTTAGAGAAAAGCTCTAATGAGTTGCACTCTCAGGATGGCCCTTAGTTTCTTGAGTTTTCCCACTAGAGACCTTATTTTCCCTCTGGAGACTTGGATATGTTCAGTTAGGTATGGTAAGGCACACAGACAAGGGAATGACCATTCTGAAGGAGGATGTTTATACTCTTGGATTCCTGAGCACAAGAGGCACAGCATGCCCCTTAGGACCTCACAGGAAAACACCAGGGTGGGCCAGTGTTCAAGGGGAGTGAAGGCGAGCAGCAACAACAGTCCTTATTCTGATTTCTATAGGAAACCCGAGGCAAGGCAGGGCAGGCAGACATAGAATTGGTTGGTCTGAATGATCTCAGCAGGCCTGGAGGCAAGGGCTATCCTTCCCTAGTTGCCTGTGCCTGGAGTGATAAGAGAGAGGAACAATGGCATGGTTTGTGAGAGCCTGCTAAGGAAGTAGTTGAGAGATAGGCTTTTGATTGGTTAGTACACATATGAGGAGTATTTTTCTTTCTCCTGAAACTGACCAGTCCTGGGAGGGACAATGTACACAACATTTTCAAGGCCCTTGATACCAAAATATTAGAAAATAGAGACAATCAAAGGGCAGGGTTAGTACAGAGCTCACTGAATTATATTGTTGAAGATGTGATAAACAGCTCTTCATGGGTTTGGATAGAAAAGGGGTGAGTGATAGTTATAAGATGTACCTGGAGCCTTTACCATACAAAGGGTTACTCTTCAGGGAAAAGTACTCTGCCAGAGCCTTACTTGAGCTGGGAATCCCCAAGTAGATTATTCACATTCCAGTACCTTCTTGACTTCCTGTATCACTTAAAGGTAGATCAGGGCTTCTAAGAAATTGTCATATACTGATAAAAGAGTCAAATATCCAAGAAGAAAATCATACTCCTAAACAGGCACGGATATAACTGCACAACATCAAAATCCACAAGGCAAATGCTCATTAAATTGAAAAGAGAAATACACAAGTCTACTGTTATAATTGGAAATGTCCTTCTCCCTCTGCCAATAATTGGCACACCAAAGAGACAGAAAACCAGTAAGGCTGTAGAGGCTTGAGCTGCACAACCAGCAAGCTTGACACTTATAACACTTATATTCTTGTTCAGTCCAAAAACAAGAATGCACATGCTTTTGTAGCTTACTTGGAAAATCCACCATGATAAACGATGTCCTTGCAAAACTTGTTAACAAATTTAAACCAATTAAACTCATCCAAATTATATTCTAGGAACAAAATACAACTAGAAAATCACAAAAACAGCTGACACACACTTCTCTCCCAGTACTTAGAAATTAAATAGCAGATCTTTTTTTTTTTTTTTTTACAAGCTGTGAGTCAAAGGAGTCTCAAAAGAAATATTAAAATGTTTTCAAAAATGCATGAAAATGAAAAAGCAACTTAATAGAAAGTTTGGTGATGCAATAAAAGCATGTGTAAGAGGGGTGTTTATTGTAGTATGGGCATATAGGTCTTAGTGCATTTGTTGCTATAAAACTACCTGAGGTCAGGTATGTATGTTATGTTCCAAACAGGTTTCTTGGGGCTGGGGAAATGGCTCAGTAGAATAAGCGCTTGCCTGGCAAGTGCAAGGGCCTAAGTTCAATCCCTGGTTCTGCCAAAAAAAAAAAGGTTTCTTTTGACTTATAGTTTAAAAGTATGCATTTTGAGCAGTCCCATCTGCTATAGGCCTCATACCCATCAACACACTTTGATAACACTTCATTGTGGACATGTGTCCTGACATGGAGTAGACCACCCATGTAAGGTGGCCCTACTTTATCTCAACCCACTCAAGGAAGAACTAACCCAACGCCTGGAGACCTGACTCATGCAAGATGGACATTAGTCTTTTCTGAGGGTGCAAGGCATAGTGACTTGATTCCCTCACAGTAGGCCTGCCTCTTAAGGGTCTACCACTTTAACACTGCAATGCTGAGCACCAGGCCCCAGCTTACAGCCCCTGAGCCTAGGGACATATATCTAAATGCTGTCCAAATTAAAATGTATATAGAGATAAAAGAAATGCATAGAGTCAGGAACCTACAATTCCATTTTATGAACCTACAAAAAGGTCAAATTAATGCTGAATCAACAAGAAAACAATGGAAACAGCAATAGTTGGAATTCCAGAAACAAAAACAGAAGAAAAATCAGGAAAATCCATATTGGTTCACTAAAGTTATGATCAAATCATCAAAGCTTTAGCCAAGATAAAGTAGAAAAAAGCAGAGAAGGTTTTTCTATATCCTAAGACTAAATTCCTTGTAGTAAGAAAGCCTGGGAAAGCGGATTTCCTGACTGGCCAGGCATGAATGGGCACGGTCCTGTCCCTTGGCTCCTCTTAAGCTTGTGTAGGCTGCACCGCACCCTGTCCTCAGAGTACAGCTTCATTTTGAATGTGAAATTAGAGAGGCCCCAGGGTGCACCCAGTAGGGCCCTCACACTTCTGCTTTCTGGCTTGTTTTGCAAGCTGACACTTTGAGGAAAGGCCACTTCCCTAGTTACAGAAACGGTCCGGCAGCAGGAAACCCTCTAGCCTGTGGAGCTGGTTTCTGCTTTTGCCCCACTTCAACAGTTCTCTTTGAAAATCCTTCTTACTCTTTCATATTTCTGTGCTTCCTACACCCCATGCTGCTGCTGCCTGCCAGTGTGGACCTGCGTGTAGATCCGGGAAAGGCAGGTAGGTGAGACTTGAAGGGGCCCTTTGGAGTGAGACAGTGTGACCTTGGGACTGTGTGTATGTACAAGAGGGCACTAAGGCTTGTGGCTGTGCTTGTGTTCTCTACTCCTGCCAAACCTATGCCCAGCCCGAGCTCCAGTGTTGAACGGTGTGGTCTCTTGGTTCTTGCCCGCAGTTCTCATGTGGCCGAACCATCTCTTTCCCCTGGGCCTAACATTTACCACTTTCTTTAAGCGTCAGATATGCTGTTATATGTCAGATTTGTGAAATTTACATTTAAAAGATCTTAGGAGATCCTCGTAAGTTTCTGAGGTATTTACACTCATGAGTTTCCCACAATTATTTAATTGGCTAGGTAGAAATCATAGTGAGTTTTTATGTGTGTTCAGCTCAACTCAGGGGGCTTCATAGTGCCATTTCAGTATGTCTGTGTTTAAACTGGGTGGATTGATTTCTCTGTCAGCCACAGAATCCTTGTATAGGTAAAGAGATAGAGTAACAGAAAAGCAAAAATAGTGCCCAGAGGCTGGAAGCTCCAGACAGGCACTTTCAGATCGCGTGTAAGTCCTGTGCTTACTGAGCTTATGGCCACCCGTCCAGTGCAGCTGCAGCCTTGCTTCTTCGCCACTTCAGTTTGCTGGGCTTAAGTCAAGGAGAGCACTGAACCTTTACTGCCCTGCCATCCACCTCTGTCGTTTTTTCAGACAAAGACAAGGCTGGGGAGATGTACCATGGTGGGTATTTTCAAGGTAGTTGCCTGTAATCTGGTAATTTTGGTAGTTGTTGATGTTTTCCCCAGAGGAGAATGAGTGCTGAGTGGGACACAGTTCACTGGCGAGGTATCCTTGGACATTTTTAGGCTCACTACCTGCAGCCCCGACCTGTCCTTTAGGGATGATCCTGGGCCCGACTCAGTATTCAGTCAAGTCTTCAGGAAGGCCGGATCCCGTATTCCCCCACTGTTGCGACCACACCTGGAGCCTTGCTCATGCTAGGCAAGTGCTCCACCACCAAGCTCCATCCCCAGCCTTGCTTGCTTTAGTAACCACATCCACCTTCTCTGAGTCCACTGGTGCCACCTGTGCTGTGCCAGGAGCGGTAGGCCTGGGCTGGGCAGCCAACCTGGCAACAGCATGACATGGTAACTTTTCTGTCCTCGTTTTGATGTTCTGCTGGTTGCCAGTGGCAGTCCACCCTCGGCTTACCTCCTGGCTGCCTTTCTCCCAATCTCAGAGGTGCATAGGGTCAACTCAGTTATTCTCTAGCCATAAATGTCACATAGGGAGTAAAATATTGGGTCGCAGCTGAAGTTTTCATACATTGGACTGCTTACAAATCACCACGAAGCTGTTTAGAGTTTCGGCTTATTGTCTCTGTGGCTTCTTGCTAGGCCCGCAGACCCTGGGATCACATTTCCAGACTGTGTCACCTACTCCAAGAAGCTCAGCCTGCACGCGGCTTGAGCAAGTCACAGCCAGAGGCAGACAGAGGGTAGCTGGAGGAGAAGCCGAGAGACACACAGGGCCGGGCCCCTGCCCCTCCCTCCCAGGAGCTGCTCTTTTCTGCATGTTGCCAGGGAGGCTCCTTTTCAATCCTGCACGGCGCCTGCAATCACAACTAGCACATGATAGCCACTCACCTCCCCTATTGATTGAATTGACATTTTAGATTTTAAAGTTAAATCTTCTCGGGTAGGCTGGTGGTTTATTTGTAGCCTTGTATATTAAAAGAAAATATTCAGGTAGACATCAAGGAATAATGCACTGCGTGTGAATTACATCCAGGCAGGTGTGAAAGAAGATTTGGGAGCACCCTGAGGATGCCCGTAGGCTGCCTAACATGGGTCAGAGTCAGCTGAGCTAGGTCAGCCTTTTCTCTATGGAATAGCGGGTCTTTCAGGTTCTGAAGGTGAACAAAAGAATTTGATTCTGAAGGTTTCAATAAGGTTCTCATGCATCGCCACAAGTCTTCTATTTCTAAGTGACGATGAAAATGATGCACATGGCAGCCTGGGTTTTACTTTTTGTTTCAGCACTGCGCATTCCTGTATTCTAAGAATTGCCCTGTGCTTGCCTACAGAGACAGGACAGGGCAGGGGTCCACAGGGTGAGTGAAGACAGGGCTCCCCCTTGAGGGACCACACATCTGTGTTGCACAGCACACGGGTGGGCTGCCCACTGCGCTAGGGATGGGTCTTCAGTGTGAGCTCATCTGGGCTCAGGAAGCCAGGCGCAGAGACTGACCAGGCTCGTGGACACTGGGTTCCAGTCCTCCACGCTAAGGCCCCGCGTTGCACTTGTGTTTTGTGTTTTTCCTGTTTGATGAGTCCCTGGCATGGGAGGCTGAGCTCCATCACCCTGCACAGACTGGTCGTGTGGCTGTCTGGAGAGCCACGTGCTGTGTGGCGTGGCCCCACGGAGTGTCCCTTTGCTCTTTTCTCCTTACCCAACCAGCCCAGCGAGACTGATAGTCCCTCTTGGCTGTACTCCTTCCTCTTTCTTAGGAAAATTAATCTAACCCACAAGGAAATTTTCCCTTTTACCCAAGTCCTGACACTTAAGTTTCTCAGTTTAAGGCTGCAAAGCCAATTCCCAGCACATTTGAATGCGGTTGATTTGCACTGGGGAGGCTGGGTGGTTTCGAGTGTGAATAACCTTCATTTGCATCTTCTCAATCTTGTTCCTCAAATGGTATGAACATGGCAGAAATTTTCCCTGCGGAGTTGTTTCCCCACAGAGCTGTGTGCTTCTGCATTGGTCTCCATTGTGTGGGTAACTCTCAAGGCCTGTTGGTAGGAAAATGAGCCACTTAGGTTGCGGTGGACTGCTGGGCGTGTTCACTGCAGGCAGCTGGAGGGGCCGGGTGGGCAGAGAGCAGCACCTGCAGGAGCCATGCTTCAGTGGGGACGAGAAAAGCAGAAGCCGAGAAGCACAGATCGGACTCTGATGATGAGGGTAGATAGGGAAATTAAGACCAGGGTGCTGAGACCCAGGCTGCCCCTTCCGGTTCCACACCCAGCTGAATTTAATGTAGGAGTAATGTATGTCGAAGTATGGTCTCATATATAAATTGGTGATTTTCCCAAAACATCCAGAACAAAATTATGTATCTTTATAAATGAGCTTGGATATTGCTGGGAAGGGAGGGGACAGAGGAGGAAAATTATTTATAGTCAATGTTTATTGTTCCTGGATCCCTTGTTTACAAATCTATCTCTTCACGAAAATGTATGTGTAGCCTTAAAATCAGTCCTAAAACAGCTTTTGCTGTCACTTTTGGATATATATATATATAATGGTGAAAATTTGGCGTTGGCAAAACGTGTTGGGGTTGGATCGGGCAACACTGCCTTCACCTTGCACGGTGTAAACAGGTGGCATTTCCTTATTCTTTGTTTTGAGCAATTTTGTGCTTTGTGCTTGTGACTTCACAACTTAAAATGGCCCAACACATAGTGCTGAAGAGCTGCCCCGTACCTCTAAGCACAAGAAGACCATGAGGTGCCTTGCACAGTGATTGTGTGTATTGGACAAGCGCTTCTCCCTGGCACGTGTTAGTGCTGTTGTGCCCCTAACAGCAACAAAATAGATATGAAATAAGTGTCCTTAAATAGAAACACATGTAAAACAAAGTTGTTTGTTGACTGGCTGATGAACACATAAGCAGAGGATCCCAAGAATTGAGTCTCAAGTTTTCCCTGGGAGCAATGGTGTGGGATTTGCAAATTCACAGTTCCTGGTCACTCCGGAGAGTAGGACTGCTGGGAACAAAGAGAGCAGCAACTGTGCTTTGCTTTGTGCATAAGATGAAAAAGTGGTGGAGTCACAAGTACTGATACTGAAGAAATGGACAGAGGAGAAAAGAGAAAAATGTGACAGAACAGAGGATGCCAAGTTCTTCTGTTAGTGATGGTAGGCCAAACTGGACTTTGGGCTCGCTTTGATCCTGCCTCCCTAATCTGTGAGTGCCAGGCTTGGGTGCTGTGATCCTTGCTGAACTTGGGAGCCAGTCCTGTCACCCACCCTTCATTCATAGGCAGCTTGGGGATGAAGGGAGATTGGATGGAATGGTGGGTCCAGGGCACAGGGCCACGTGTGGCTTGACTCCTTCCTCTGACCTCCACTTTGTTTTCTCTCACCCCCGGATGCCCCAGAAGCTTCACCCTGACTTAGCCAGAACAGCTGTGACCTCTCCTTTGCCTCCCCAGTTTGAGCCTGTCTGTCAGCAGCTCATGCGCTCTTCGGCCACCAGCTGCTTCTGTCCCCTGGCCCTGTCCGCATTCAGGATGAGCCACCTCTTGCTGCTTAACAAATCACCCTAAACACAGTGGCTTAAAAGAGCAGTCATATGTGGGTTCAAATCTTCAAAATCCCAAATGCTCCAAAATCTGACACCTTTTGTGTATTGATATGATACTGTGAGTGGAAAATGCCATGCCATGAAACTTTGTTTTGTGCACAGAATTACTACAAATATTGTAGGACACTACCTTCAGGATGTGTGTAGTGTTCCTATGAAAGACAAATGAATTTCTTTTTGTTATGATGTGTGTGACTTATGTGTCAACATACCTTAGGAAAATACATTCAAGTCAGACATGGTGGCACATGCCTGTAATCCCAGCATTCTGGAGCCTGAGGTGGGGAGGCTGAGGCAGAAGGATCCCTGTGAGTTCAAGGCCAACCTACACTGCACCACATACTGAGACTAAGTCACAGAAAGAAAGAAAGAAAGAAAGAAAGAAAGAAAGAAAGAAAGAAAGAAAGAAAGAAAGAAGAAAAGGAAATACATGCATACCTGAGTATGCATGAGTACTGAGTCACACAACAGTGGAAAGGAAGCAAAGAGGTTACTGAAGAAACTGAGCCTGAAGGACAGCAACTTAGCCAGGGTCCCAGGGCTCCTTAGCTCCCTGCCTACTGGCCCACCTTGACTTCCTGCACCACAGCCATGTGTGACACCCTGTGGCACCTCAGAGAGTGGGGAAGGAGGGTGCGTTG